GTTAAATGCAGGGGTCAGTTTCTACATCATACTCTCTGTAAGGTGAGTCCAACTTTCCAGAGCTGCCCTCTCTGTGTTACCTGAGTAGATGCCAAATGAGAATAGCTCAGAAAAAATATGATTTTATTTGATTCCAAGTTTGTTTTGCTAAAGGCTCTTTTGACTAAATTTGAGGATTAGTAATACCTCCTGATGTTTACTTACTGTGATTGTTCTGTCTTGGATAAAATGAGGACAGGCATGTATCAGTTGTTCTGATAAGTCTGCACTTTGGCCTCTCAGATCTTTGCTACAGCAGAGGCTGCTTTTGAATCACTCAATCTAGCTATAAAATGTGAAACTGATATTCCTAATAGACTTTTTAGATACTGTCACAAAGTGCCTGTATAGAGAAGAAAATCTCTGAGCCATTTGTTTATACACTGTCATCAGTTCTTCAGTGCTCTGCACCCTTCTGAATACCTGGCTGGTTGTGTCAAACTAACTTCAATGATAAAAATAATTTGTTTGCCTACAATTAAAGATCCCTAGTAACTAGCATGCCTTCCATGTATTTTTTCCAAGGAATGTAATTTATCTTGGAACAAATACAAATTAGGTCAACTTGTCTTCAGTGTTTATCTATTGCACAGGAGTTTCATTTACAAGCTAAGTGGGCCACAAGAACAGCTGGGTGCTACATCATCTACACTGCAAGGGTTATTCTAGTCCACACTGAAGAGTTTCCATGCATGGACAGTATCAAGAAGGCAGCAGTAGCTCTGCTGCATGAGCCGTCCAGACAACAGTGAAAGGATCATTAGTTAAATTACTTCTGAAGAAAACCAGTTAGTAACCTGCTGTGAGAAAGCTATTTCACTGTTAGATGCCTGTGGGACCTTTATTTGTGTGCCTGTTTATTGTATGCAGTGATAGCAATTCAGATGTCTTTAAGGTTTTAAGGTCTTAATCATGCCCACTCCTCCACACCAATCTAATCTTCCATTCAGCTGTTCTGTTTCCAGCCTTGAAATTGTTCAAGTCATAAGGTGGATCTGGAAAGTAAGTTAGGTTCCCACTGGGCATTTACAGGTGAAGTGGGGAGGAGACTCCTTCAGTTAAGTACTTCTTCTCTTGAAGACCAAGGGGCCTGGCCAAACGAGGCAAAGAATTGAAAAAGAAAGAGAAGGATTACCATTCACTCTCCTGGAGGGATTCCAAGAAGGACAGAACCTGAGACATATTTAGTTTTAACCCCAAGTAACCTTGATGTTGAAATGACATCTTGTGTAACTTCATCTTAGCAGCAATAGTTAGCATTTGTGAAAAGTAAAATGACCCATTTTTGAATTATAAAGAAATTGATTCAGTCACCCTAAAATACAAAAAGGATATCTTTTAAATGTATGTCCCAGATAGCTAAAATCCCCATGACATAGGATTACCCTAAGCCCTCAAAAATATTGCCATCTAAAGAGGAATTTATCAGGTATTGGGCATTGGCTGTGCTGGCCCAGTACACAGTGGGCACATGTCATGGAAATTCATCACAGGCCCAGGTGAAATACAAGCACTACAATTTGCTATTTTTAGACAGTAAGGTTACATTAGTGTGGACCCATGATCTTGAGAGAGTGACCACAAGGCAACATTTCAACAATCAAGGTATGATTGATGCAAGAAGAAAACCAGTAATTTTCTGGAATGAATGGGAAAATTGTTTTCTATGGATCAATACAGACATAAATTATGGTTATAAGTCTTTCTATAAACTATATAGAAGAAACATCTCAGTTGTTTGTAATAATTACAGAAAGAAGTGGATCACAGAAATAACCCTAGAATAAACCGTCTGAATAAAGTGCCTAAAATTTTCCCTCTTTTGCTAGAAAATACAAAATCCAGGAAAAGGCTTTATACATACATAAATGAATGTTACATTGCAATACATTTATGTCACTGTGATGGAAACCAACAATACTTTACTTGCTAATATTTTCCTATCCTTTAAGTGTATAATATTAACAACAAAGGCTATCAATATACCATTTTATCAATTAATAAATAATTTTAAAAATTGCTTAACACATTTAGTCAGGTAATAAATAAAAAAATAGAGACCTATGTGGCAGAGTCTCAAAATGAAGCTAAATTAATGACTTTTAACTCAGTTTTGCAATTTAGTTTGTTCTTAATACAGTTCAAACATACCATTATTTTAGAACTTTTTGACCACTCTGGGTTTTTTAAGTTTTGTTAGGCCCAATTCTTCATTAAATTTAAGGTATAAGCAGCTTTTGTGTTGGTTTGTTTCTATCTCAGAGGTCTGATAAAGAGATTCTATCTTCAATTAATTCATAGCACAAATAACTTAAACTGATGCCCCTTAAGTGAGGTTTAGTCCCTTATATGCAGTGGGGCTGCCTACTCCACATTCAGATGGGAATGCAAATGAATATTTTTACCTGGTAAATGTCTAAGTATTACGAGATTTTTCTTTTACAAGCAAAAATATCTTTGAATGGAGATTTTAAACCTTGCTTGCAGAAACATAAGGATTATCTTAATGGAGCACAAAACATTTTTTCTCCAAGAATGTCCCTCACAAAATGTATTTGCCACTTCTTGAGACATTATTAAGGGTTACAGTGAACCATAACGTGTTGGAAAAAACATCCCAAAGGAGAAGTTTCTAGTTGCCATGTGTTGGTTTAGCTCCATGATAACTTATGCTTAGTAGAATATATACATAACTGTGTTCATGTCTCATAATCTGCCTTTGAAAAAAAAAGTATTATTTATTTTTATTGGTTTTTACTGAAAATTTGTGACAATGTGTGTTGGAGTGTGACTCTGACAACCACTTGAACTTGTTTCCTACTTTCTGTCCCTCAGTTAAAACCATGCATAAATATATTCTTCACAATAAGTCTTAGGATTTTACTGTTTTCATATCTGATTTTAATTCCACTGTAATGAAATTCCTTCCTCTCACCTCAATTTCTCTTCTCAGGCAGTGCCATGGGCTACTTTTCATCAGGAACCTTCCATTAGAAATACTGAAATTTAGTGGATTTGATAATTATTACTTCTTGATGAAACTAAAACGAATTCTTAAACAAAGTAACTGTGTTTCTTAGGCTGAAGTCAAGAATAGCCTAGGGTTTGTTTTTTTTTCCCCTGGACTGTGAAACTAGCTCTTCCAAGAAGCCATCATTTGAATTGTTGAGAAATTGCCTCTCAAAGATCTGTCCTGAAATAACAGCTTGAGAGTGGCATCACAATTTGCCAATCTATGTGCAAGTATTTGGAGTAGTAGACTAACACTTTCTAAAAAAACATTGCATTTAGTTGCTTCTTTGCTTTCCTTCACACTGTCTGCTCTGTATGGTATTTACACAGTGAAGGCAACAACTGACTTAGGTATTGAAATTTAAAGTACAGGCTTCTTATACCATCAACGGAAAGAGTTACAGTGCTTCAGAGGGCAATTAAGAGTGCATTACTGAGAAACCTGTCTGCTTTGTTAATTACTTGGAGGACTTGGATGCTTCTTTTAGATGCCCGGGATAAACTGTGAAGATGTCTGAACCTCCACGCAGCCTTTTTTCTTTTTGTTTTTGCTTTTAACTGGAATAGGAAACAAATATTGAAATCTGTTAAAATAATTGTCACTCGAACTGCAATTTAAATGCATGGAGAGTCTCTTGCTAGTTGTTGCTCCTCTGAAATTTTATCCCTCTAAGATTATTTTTCAAGAGAATTGCTATTTCCCTGTTAGTACCTCAGTCAGTTCTATGCAGATTATAACCTAAGTAGCCCACAATTTTTTTTCTTTTGATTGGCTTCAGAAAAGCTGAATATGTCATGGTTGGACAGACACTCTAATTTGCCTTTAATTGCATTTAGCATTTTCATATTATTGTACTTCTTTGAGATACAAATGAATCTGAATGAATCTGTTCTGCTGGCATCCCTAGACAATGCTGATCTTTGGCCTTACTGCTCCTCTGCTGCTTGTGGCTTTCTTACCAATAACAAATAAAAATTTCCCAGGTCTCTGCCATGTTCCCATGCTGGCACCCCATGTAATTCTGCTTTGCATGTGTGGAATCTATGCTTTTAAAAAAGCTCTCTGTCAGCCCAGAATGTTCCAGGCACTACAGAAAAACAAACAAAAGCTCCCTTTAAGCCCTCTAGACATGTTTCTCTCTAGCAGACTTTGACAGCAAAACTGGAATCATTTTAAATAAATCACAAGGGTTCTGGACTAAAGGCCTTTTTTTTCTGCGTAACCTAGTTTCCATGAACTCTCATACACTTATCCGTGCTTCTAATGCCAGGGTCACAAGCTTCTCCCTACCACCAAAAAGAATCTTCTCTAACTGCTGTCACCACAGGTGGTCACCAAGCTGATGAAGAATTATCTTGGTTGCTGCATACACAGATACAGTATTTTGACCCACCATTAAACCTCATCACAGTGTATCCCCATCTCCTAGAGGGACCACTTGGCTCTGTGTTTCCTCCTCTCTGCAACGCTCAGTCTCTCAACATTTCACCATCTCCATGTCTCCTTTCATTTTTTTTAATCCCTTTACTATTCCAGAACAACATTTTATATTTATTCCACTTTACCCCCATCTGCTGGTAAAACAAAGCTGGCACATATAATACACCACAGATGACTGGCAGGTCTTGTTTAAGATGCATAGCCAAAGTACTTGATGGATAGAATAAGAAAGGGAAGGGAGAAAGTTTCTTTAAAGATCCACTGCTACACATATTCACTGATTTACAGCCTGCTTTGATTTTGTTCTGAGCTCATATTTCTTAAATTGATCAGCATCTCTTTTAATTTAGAAAAAGTAGCTTGGACTGAGAAAGTTTCTATTTATAGTTGTAAAAATTTAGTAACAAACAATAGATTCCTTTTACTTCTCTCCAAAATTAACTCTTATCTTTATAGGAATGTTTTATTATTTCCTGATGTTCAGCATTAATTATCTCTGGTTTTGGGGTTTTTTTCCAAGTCTCATCTGGAAATACTTCAAATGGAATAAATTTAAAATCATTCTCCTTTTGAAATAAGCTAATTTTCTGAACTCTTAAAATGCATTTTGCTTTCCTTCTAAGAGCAAGGCAAAGCACTGCAGGGACCAATTAGAAAGAGCTGAGAAATCCTCATGACATGAATGGCTGACAGCTGAAAATCCTAAATCTGATGGACTGCCTTGTAGATTGGCATGGACAATGCCTCTCGCCGTCAGCAAACAGCCTCCTAAGCAGAAAGGAAAAGTTTTTTTAAAGGCTGCCTCAGTCTGTCCATACCCAGCAGTCCCTCTCTTTCTTTATTTTTCTAATTCTTTTTCTATTTATTTTTATTTTTTTTCCTCTTATTTTTTCCTCTTTTTCTGCTTTTTTTCCCTCCCTTTTTTTCTCCTTTCCTTTCCTGCCCTCTAGCGACCGACCAAGCATGTTTCTAAACAAACAGCACACTTCCAAAATACTTTCTTTCTATTAGGCCAGATTACTCCAGTAGGATAAATGAACTGCAAAGGTAGAGGCCATTGGTATATTACAAATTACACTAAAAGGAATAACAGTCAAATGTTTCCAAGCTGTTAATGGCTGACCCTCTCGGATAGTCTTGATAACAGGTGCCTCTTGAACAATCTCTACCACATATATTGGGTGGGATTTGGCATATATTTCAGCTATGGTTTTCTGAGCATACTATTGTACAGAAGATGGAAGAAAAACATTGGATTTTACAGATTATTTTCTCATAACATAAAGAAATATATAAATAAAATTAAAAGTAGGGATTTTTTACGTGATGTGAATCTCAAAAGTCACTGTGAAAGCTATTAGTACACCGGTCCTAAAATATGCTGTTTGACTCAATGAATTCAAGGCTAATTGAATCCTGCTTTTACAGTATAATATATTTTTTTAAATTGTTTCTATTCACAGATACCTGCCATAGTTTCAAATTCAAGCTATCAGGAAGACATACTGGAAAAGGAAGTCAGGTTATAGATAATTTAGAATAATAGTATCTTTTGGGTATAGTGATGTGGAAAGAATGGGGGGTTTGTTTTTTAGACCACGCTCTTTATAATCCTACTCTTTTTCTAACTCTTTTTTTTTTTTTTCATTAGCACTCGATAATTCCTTTAGCCAAGGAAAGAAGCAATGATAGAGTTTACAGTGAAGTAGTGAAATAATTGTTCTGGTTTTAAACTTACTTCAAAGACCTGAGGAGCAGGTTGTGTTTGTATTTATACAGGTATTTACCTTTCCACAGACTTTGAGGTATACAGTCTAGATACTTCATCCATTTTGAAATGAAAGCAACTAAGTTAATGCATTTACTACTTCTGCTGTAGGCCTGGAGAATGCTTTATGAATGCAAAAGCTTGTATATTTTTTCCTGCTAAACGGATGGTGCTAATAAAGGATACAAATGGCAGCATTGCAGGTCTTGTTTTCAGTCTGTAGAGCCTACATGTAGAAAGGGAAGTTCTCATCATGCATACTTTGGAGAAGTTGGGAAGGTCTGGGACAGCTGCAGGCCTATGAGCCACATTTGATGACAGTTTATGCTGTAACATTATGGCCCCATGTAAAGCAGTGGATGAATTATGTATGTGTGACAATGCTGATCGAGGGACTCTGACCATAGCCTGACTTTTTCCCTCCTGTTGAGCACAGCTTGTAATTTAAACGGAGACACAGAGAAAAGCCAGTGGGATTACAGAAAACACACATGACCAAGGCATCATGTGTTTGTCAGAGCAAGTGGTTTCTGTCCCTGTGCTGGCTGCATTCTTCTGTCACACTGCTACTGCTGCTATGTGTAAATCAGCAAACTAAACAGTGCGAGGACACAGACACAGGCATTGGACCTTGATCTGCTACTATAGCATGGTGTGGACCTGGGACAGGTAGTAGTCTCCCCCACCAAAAAATTCCTGGGCACAGTTTAGGCAGTAGTACTAACCAGAGAGAGGCAATTTGGATGTAACTGCCCTGTTTCAGAGACAGTTTGACAGACTGTAAATGACTAAACTGTACAAACGTGCTGGATCTCTTTCCATGTTCTTAGGTCACTGATTTTCCTAGTATAACAATAGTCTGCAAGTTCAATTGGGTTTGGATGTACTTATCTCTGCCATTGGAACTGGAAACTACTGGCCCTATTCAACTATCTTTTACAAAAGTAAGCATTTTAATATGGCGTGAGTGGAAAAATACATTTCAAAATTATCAGTTGAATCCTCTTCTAGTCAGTCCCATCTAGGGTCAGGCTTTCCCATCAAGCTGGAGAGGGTTACTAGAGGGAAGGAGGTGCTTTCCATTGTCTTCCAAACCCTTGAATTGGCAGTCAACTAATAGTATTTTCCGATACCTGTTTTTCAAGATGAATAAAGGAAACTATATCATTTATGTTGTATAATTTCCATTCCATAGTTATTATGCAATCACTTAACGTCCTTTTGAGCCACAGTACTTTGCTATGTAAGTAACTGTGCAAGGATCATGAAGTTATTAGCACCAAAATGCAGTCTTACACGTTTTACGGGGGGGGGAAATCCCTGAACAGCCATCACCTACTCTTCATTCAATTATTGTAAGCAGCACGGGCACATTTTGGAACGAATGTGGGACGAATCGCTAGTACTGTACTTTTTATGCTCATCATCATCATCATCCCTTACGAAGGAGAGGGCAGCAGGTTAAAGACAGGCTGTGTCAGTTGCCTGTTTCACGCTGCCTCCTCAGGGCTCCCAAGCACCAACGCACACAAACGCCGCCCGGATCCCCGGGGAGCGGCCCCGGGACGGGCCTCGCGGTGGGCGGAGGCTCCCGCCGGGCGCGCCTGCGCACGAGGCCGGCGGTGCCCGGATCCCTCCGCCGGGCGCAGCGCCCGCCCGGAGCGTGTGCGGGGCCGTGCGGGGGCTGCGGGGGCGGCC